AAAAACAAAGATTTATTTAATACAGTCAAAGAGAATATAATATATTTCAAAATTGATGTTTCAGATATGAGTAAATAACATCATGATAAGACACATCCTGTTAAAAAGTCTTTGCAGTTAGCTGTTGAATATCAGATTCCAGAACACCATTGACAAGGTGGTTCTTATAACTGATAATGTAAGTAATACTGATGATTCTTGTAGATACAACACAAGGCTGTCTATCATATCTATCTTTAACCTTTGAGAATGCCTTAATGACATTGACTCCTCAAGTTGAAAAATGCCATACCACTTGGTAAAACAGGAGGAAGGAGTTTGTCATGGTCAATTTCATGTATAGGATAAGTTTGATATAATGCTGAAAAAGGCCACACCACTGGTTAAACTATCCTTGAAAACAGAAGGACATTGTATGCTATGGTCAATTGCAGGTTTTTGATAAGATTAGAGAGTTTAAATAGTTAAACTATCATTTATTACACTTCCTGTCATTGCAGTAGAAATTGTGTCAAACTAATAAATACAAGTCATGTTTTATATAGGCCATAACATTTTGGCAGCCCCTGGTCCCCTCTACAACGACACATGAGTTAACTTGGCAGATTGAACAAATGACTACACCATTTTGAGCAAGGTCATCAAACACAAAATATGGGCCCCTATTGCAAAGGTCAAGGACACACAGTTATAGAGGTCAGATAAAAATTTTGGAATTGCGTGCATGGACACTCTTTGGCAGTCTTGAATTAAGGGATTATATCACAAATGTTGACAAATTTGAGACTGAGTATTGCCAGTATAATTCAGGTCAATATAATGCAACATCAAGATCAACAGAGATAATTAAATGTAAAAGATTTTTACCAGTGCATATATTCTACATACCTGAATAAGATGTAGTGCTGCATGCACACATAAAGCAGGTCTCTTGATCAAAGATCATTATGTGTATTATAGACATCTGAATGCAATTCCAACTTTTGGTTTGTTAGAACATTATTAACTCACCAGCAAAAGAACATTGTATAAAATGTACATAATTATAATAACATCTTTGAAATAACAAATTAGAGGTCCTTTACAGAATTATGATGGTAAGTGCCAAAAAGTTGTTTGTACATTTCTTGCAATCTTTGGAGAATGGTGAAAAAGTATTTTGATATCATATTTAGTATTATATTACATGTATTATATTTCCAGCATAATAGAATATATGCAAAAAGTTGTATTTACTTCTTTTTATATGTTTGCGTTCCTTAAGGAACAAGAATTTTTTTAAATGCATCATTTTATTGATGATGCGCATGACAATAAGGTCATCCTATCACCGGCATTCAAATGATTGAAACATAAACTGTTTCCAACTAACTTTTGATAAACTCTTTAACAATCACTTTCATTGACAAATCTGATATATCATCCTGACAAATTACTGTTAAACATTGGTTGTAGAGTTGGCAGATAAATGTTGTAATAAATCACTTGTTAAATGAGAGTAGTTCCACCAGAATCATTAATAAATCTGATATTACCAAACAGTTATCAAGTATATCATATTAGATATCAGCTTCTAGAATGTCTTACTGACAATGTGAGTGACAATTCAATGAATCATCTTCGGCCAAGTTCTAAAAATTATCATGGCTATTTACAGAGAAAATACTTTTCTGATACGTTGTCATAAATAATGTATGAAATATATAAACTTTGCAATTTACTTTGTTTTAATTAGTTTGAAGAGCAATTAATTAAATGATACTAAATAAGCAATACTTTTTGAAACCATGCTCTGTTGGTTGTTCTAGTTTTATTATTGATATTCCTTAGCTTAAATTATGGAGAGCATTGCATTTGTTATCCAGGAGTCGCTGATTCGATCCATTGGGGAAGTTTAATTTCTCTTTGACATCTGGTCTACTGGCCATTTTGTCCTCCATCCCTGATTTAGAAATGATGTGTAATTAGTAGTCAGTCACTTAAGGAGAAACTGGAAATTACTGGTTAGTTATTGTGGAAAAGCCAGTTCGGTTGAATAAATGCATATGGTAGGTTATTATAAGGACAAAAAATGTGTTAAAATCAGCATAAAATACATTACAAACAAAACAAACAATAATTATCAATGATAATGCTTTAAGTACTAATGAACTTTAAGGCGAATACATCTCAAGTCAGCAAGAAACGTTATTATTATGAATTTTTATTCTTTTCCTTATTTTATCTAAAAAGTTACATGAATTCTGTACACCATGATTGCGACTCACAGTTTATTTTTAAGCATTTGTTTACAAAAATAGTCTATACTTTCTGTATTTGTACATGTACAATTCATGTTCCCATTAAAACTGGACAATAAAAAAATCTGAAGAAAAGTAGAACTTTGTATTAAAGTCTTTTTAATATGTCTCAATTGTATTTAATTTCAATTTTCAGGAATATATTTTACATTGTATATTTCAATATTTTTTTCCAGCAACAGCTCAATATGATAACATCTTTAAAACATCTTATAATTACCTTATAGTTTCAGTTTAATCATTATTTCTGGTGTAAGAACAGATAATTATTAATACCGACTGTGTTGAAGTGTAACAAGTTATTAGAATACTGAGATTATCTGTCACCAATTATGACAATGATCATTGTCCGAACATGTCTGACTCACAGACTGGCAGTTATTGGTATTTCTTTATTTTTATCTTGATGACTAGTCATTATCATTGATTGCTCATCATACAGTCAATGGGATGCTGTCTTCTGTTCAATCTAGAAAGATTAACTCACTAAAAGTTAGCCATGATAATGTCTGCCTAAACCAGTACTGTAAAGTCAGGCCAGTCTGAATTGTTAGTTACTTAATTATAGTAATTTTGATTGAAATATAAACTAAAATGAATATGAATACAATATAAGTAGGATATTAATACAGAAGAACATTATGTTTAAGACATGTCATATTGCATCAATTAAAAAAAAAATTTAGGATTGTATATAGATGGGAGATAATTCAGTCAGCTATATATGAAGGTCAGAAGTTTTACCCCTTTGGTAAACATGTTGAATTATAACCAACAAATAATTTACAAAATATAGTTCTTTGTTGACATAAAAAGTAAATCTCCTTCTACCTTTATTTTGGGCATAATTTGATTTTTTTTAACCCCCCAAAAAATTTTTTATGCCCCGGTTTAAATTTTTTAAATTTTTTTTGCCCCCTGGTCTTTTGTCAAATCTTTTGGGTTTCAGCTTTTTTGTGTCTGTCTAAATTTTTTTTGAATGAGGGAAAGGGGAAATTAAAATTTTTTTGGGGGAAAAATTTAACCATTTTAAAATGAGCCCCAAAGTTTTAAAACCCTTTTCCCCCGGCCCAAAGGTCACACTTAGTCATTAGATATACATGTATAGCTAAGCTGTTAGCTAACCTTTGACTACACATATGTGGCCTTGCTTTAAATTTGTGGTAAAATTTAGCTTAACTCTATTGTTGTAACAAAATAAAATATTTAAAAAACTTTAAGTGGGGAGGAGCCACATCTGCATTTCCAGGCACTCTGACCATATTTACTACCGTAGGCCTTTAGGATTTTTGTTGTTGAAAATTTACATCAGAATAATTGGTGCACAATAGGGGTAGTCCTTCAGATTGTGTTGGTGTGCCAATCAATATTAAACCCAAAACAAACAAATTTTCTGTGTAGTCTCAATGCTGTAGTATTTGCACAAGCAAGTCTACTATCAAAATATTAACATACCAAATATTACATTAAAATGTTGGCTAATATAGAAGTGATTATAGCATGATAGACTGTAAGTTCTGGAATAATTTACCGATATTAAAAGACTCCCATTGGGAATATTATACTTATCCACTTTTATGGCTCTGCCACATGTCATTTTTTCCTCTATCTGAATTGAAGATTTCTTGTCGATATATCAAACATATAATGTCTATAAGGCTTTCTCTGATGTTTACTCATATACGATAATGTTGTCTTGAAGGCATTACCCATGCTGCCTCTTACATTATTGTTGCTATATAGATATTACATATATATAATGTAATAAGTTTGATGTTTAAACAAATCATGCTGACTCGACAGATTTCTATTTATTGTTAGACTATAGGCATGATGATATATTGTGATGTGTCTGTAGTAACTTTTGTTGTATTTTGAAAAGTGGCTGATCAATGAAAGTACTAGGAGAGTTTAAATAGGTAAATTGATCAGGTTAGATAGTTTAATGCATAAGGACATATTTCTTCTGAAGATGAGAGTTGAAAATTTGATAGAACAATATTGTATCCTGATGTGAATAAAGTGACAGGTCTTTAATAATAATAATAATAATAACAACAATAATAATAGTAATGACAATGATAATGATAACAACAATAATAATAATAATAATGATAATAATGATATAATGATAATAATAATAATAAAGACCATTACAGTCACATGGTTTCATGAATAGTCTGAGCTTAATAGAATTTTAAAAAAACCAGTTTGGATTGATTTAATTATATAACCAGTATATTTGACTTTTGAGTTTTTATAAAGCTGCTCCATATAAGTATTAAAAAACATACATAATTATTTATTTTGTGAAATGTTGTCCACTACATTAAGGCTATGAATGCAGATTGTCAATTAGCTTGAGTTACTGTCCAATAAATGGCAGAGTTGTTGATCATAATGTAGTGAAAATGTTTTAAGAAATATTTTCCTTTAAATATTTGTTCAAATAGTTTGTATGGTTTGAAAAAAAAAAGATGTTTCCTTATAATTTTGACTCAAGTTTTGTGAAGATCTGCAGTATATTTGCCAGAGCACCATTGGCAAGGTGGTTTATATAACTGATAATGTAAATACATGTAATAGTGATAACTCTTGTAGATACAACACAAGTCAATTATATAGATCTTGTTTGATGAACATAACGGTAATTTTTTCAAAAAATTTTTAGTTACTAAATTGTTTTCTTGTTTCTTTGCAGTATCAAGAGTTGCCTGCCAGTTAAAACTTTTAACAAAAGCCTTGTTGTGGTAACAATGTTTAGTTATAACAATGTAAGTATGATTTGTAATGTAATAAAAGTAAGATAAGTTATTGAGACATAACATTACATATTTATGATATAAATATTGTATAACTAGATGTATGTCTAGACCAATGACTCGTGTACTAAATTTTCAGATCCTTTGCTTACTCCTTTTCTCAGAAATAATCAATTTTGTTGTGCAAATTGGCCCTAAAAATTGAAAACCATTGCAACGCTTTTCATTCAAATCGATCACAAAAAAAGGCATTACTTTGCAAAACAGAATTTTAAGATTTTTTCTGTCCGTTTGAAATGGTGTTATATTTTGATATTGAATATGTATATCACCTTTGAAGTTAATAGTTTAAAAATGGACCTTAACAAATAGGTTAACAGTAAAAAAAAAAGTCAATTTAAAAAAGGGGCATAACTTTGCAAAGAAATAATTTAAAAATTATCTGTTCTTGAAATGTTGTCCTTTAATTAAAGTAAATGTAAAATTGTACCAAGTTTAAAGTGAATAGCTTATATATTTTTGAGCAGTTGACCAAGACAGACAAGAAGGTCAGGACAAGAGCTCCTTTTTTTCTTGAAGAAAAGAAGAACTAAAATAATGATATTGCAGAAAAAAATATTACATATTAAAAACTTTATACTGTGTAATATAATATAAAGAAGGTAACATTTTAATGTTATTTTCTAATCTAAAATGTTATAGTTTATCACAGACTTGCCTAAGACATGTTTAAGTCGAGGTCTAAATATAATGACAGTGTATGTAATATCCTATATATAAATTACATATTGATGTTCTCAAGATAAATGAGTTATATAAGACAGTCTATGATGGAATAGTTATCAATCAAATATTGTGTTGGAGAGCTAGACAGTAAATATTTGTAACACTTTATTGGGGAAGCTGCAGAGTACATTTACATATCATAACTGATGATGATATTGAATGATTGATATTAAACAGGCTGTTATTTGTGATGATATTGATTGATATTAAAAAGTTGTTTGTATGGTAAATATTTTGTGATGTGCCAGACATATATATATACATGTACAAATAAATTTGGATACATCACTTAATTTTTTAGAGTCATAATTTTTTTTTTTCATGAAATTTATTTTTGTCAATACTTATGATGTTTGGATGATGTTTAAGGGTTTTGGGTTGTAGAGGGGGAATGGGGGTATAGTGTAAGTCATGGCCACGCTATGTTCACCTGTGTCATATATATTAATCATATAACAAGCAAGTTCTTGATATATATTTCCTTATCAAATAGCCATTTAAACATGTCAGTGAATAGGTTTTATTATACATTTTTCAATGTAATATAATAATAAACAATTTGTTCAGCATAAACACTTAGTAAATATGAGCTTAGAATTTAAAAAGAGATTATCCTTATTCCAGGTCACACTGGGTAACCGGCACCAGTGATGACAGATCGCTGCAGTGATGACAGAACTCTAAAGTTTACTGATTGCTACAGGTAGGTTATAAACTTGTATGGTATATCTTTATCAACCAAATAAGGAGAATTTCATGGCTATTAACTTACTGTTCTGACTGGAGACACTCTCAGGTAATTTTAAACTTGTGTCGCTAGTTAATAAAATATTTTGAGTAGGATAAAAGTTAAATCGCTTTAGAAAAATCTTCAGAAAATGATGGGTTTTCTTCAAAATATCTCGAGTGAAATAAGTGACAAGATTTTGTGTTAAATACACGTAGACATTTATCACTTAGCCTCACGTAAGCCAAATATCAAACCAGTTTGTCTTTTTCTTGCGAATGTTACAGGCATCCGAACTGGTCGTAACAGCAAGTGCTGCCATTGTAGACAAAAATGTGTAGTGACTGCAAGTGCTCCAAAAATGGCTAACATTCTAACAAAATGTCAAGATCACTCTTTTTGTTAATATCTTTATCTTGGCATATATTTTTATGCAAAATTGATATGTTTTACCATCATTTGTAATATTCAAAATAAACAAAATAGTAATGCAGTATTTGTTTTGAGAGAAGCTTTTTATAATTATTATTGCCACATAGTTACAGGACAAAATAAGATTCACTAGACCAATTAAATTGCACTATAAATAGAATTAAGAAGAAGAAATTTTAGCCGGATTATATGAGATATTATTATCTATCTTTATTTTTAGAAACCGTAATCTAGTCATCTGTTAAAACTTTATGTTGTAACTTTATTTCTTGTTGCAATTGCATATTGTCTGACTGCTCCCAGTATTATTCCCTCTAGTGTAATATTTCTATTTTAATTATAAATATCTTTTATAGTTTCTTTTATTAAAGTATTTTTGGAATTTCCTCTTGCAGATAAAGCACAGAACAATGTTGGGAGATAATACAGAAGTAAAGTGCACCATGATTTATATATAGAAGAAGGTTAATTGCTGGAGATTTTGTAAATTATCTGAACATGGTATAAGATGTAGGAGAGATTGAAGAAATAAATCAAAACATTCTGGCATTTCTGTCACCAATAGTAACAAAACCACTTTCACAAAACTACCTATATTTTTTGTATTGTTGTGGTGATTTGACTAAATTTTCAAAATACTTGTTTTGTGTATATTTTAACTTTGCTTACTTTTTATTGTGTGGCTTTTAAAAAGTTGACATATATGGGTTTCTTTTGTTGGCGGTGTCCCCTTACGCTTGTCTGGAGCATAACTCAGTCACTGTAAGTCGGATGACTCCAAACTTTGTATGCATGCTTTTTTCATTGACTTAATTTACAGTTCACAAGAGTTGTTACTCTGCACTTCTTAGTTTTTGAGTTATTTCCCTTTGTTAATTTCATTTATTTTTGTTTGGGCCATTTCTCCTTAACTATAAAAGCTATGGACTTAAAACTTCATAGGATGATAAATCTCATTGAGAAGAAGTGCAGTGCATAAGAACTTTTACTCTGCACTTCATGATTTTTGAGTTATTACCCTTTGTTAATTTTCATACTTAATAGGCTTGTGGAGAGCATACATGTAACTTGGTCATTATAAGTTTGATTGACTCCAAATTTGTTATGTTAGCATTATTCATTGACCTGAAGTGCAGTGCACAAGAATTGTTACTCTGTACTTATTTTTGCTTAAGAAATAATATATCCCAAACAGTGATTTTATCGCTCAATAACATCACTGTTTGAAGTTCAGATGCGAGGAATTATATCACGAGGGCGTAGCCCGAGTGATATAATGATGCGCATCCGAACGACAAACAGTGATGTTATCAAGCGATAAAATCACCGATTTGGATATATTATTTCGATTCTAACACGACATCAACAAAATAAATGCTGGCGTACTTGATATTAAGCAAAATTGCTCCTGATTTGTTCCCGTACTTATTTTCAGCGCGTTGGATTTTTGGTGGTTAATGATTACGTCACATGTCTAAATATAGAACGTCAAACTGTGACTCTGTTGCATAATAACACACACTTTCGGTTTTTCTATGTTCAATAGGGAAAAATGCGGGTCGTGTTAGAATCTTTGTTAATTTTCATACAAGTCATTTCTCTCCTATATTATAAAAGCTGTGGACTTGAAACTCTATAGGATGATAGATCTCATTGAGAACTGGTACTGTGAAATTATTATTTATTACAATCAGTTCAAATGCCACTTAAGTGAAAGGTACATAATACATTGCAAGAGCAGTTTTTATAAATAACCTATAAGAAAATGACTATCTTTCAGCTATATACTGTTGACAAGGGGACACAATCCAACTCATGGAGTTCCAGTTTATAACATGATTGTTAGATAAATTTTTAGTGGGAATACATGTGTATTATTGTGAACCTGGCCCTGATTGAAATAATTATCATATCTGAAGTATTGAAATTTTTATATTTATGCAAAACAAATAAATTATTGCATCATAATAAGGGCTGTGCATTGCAATGTTTTCCTTTACTTAATACTTTTTATCACAGTATTTGTATATGTATCACAATATCGTATAATATATGTATCACAGTATTTGTTATTCAAACAATGCAGTTATTGATATGTATTGCAAAAGCAAATGACTTGTGATGAATGCATCATTTAAGTGGTGATACAATATACATTTCATAATACATGTACTTACTTTCAAATTTGAAACTTTTCACAATGTCAAAGAACAAAATACTGTTACTAAAATAACATATCATTGTAATAGCAATAAAATAGTGAGCTTCAAATTCTGCTGCTTGTTTTCAATAAAGCCTTTTTCTTTATATGACATGATTATGATTATAATCAGCACTTTGATTATTGTTATGAGAAAAAAATCCTGGCTCTTCATTTTTTATATACTGTGATACTTATCAGTCATATAGGTGTTCATGTAAAGACAAAAGTAGTTACTTTTTTATAACATAATATTTATTAATTATTTTTTGTGGAAAAGGTTATATACATGTACTCTCATTTATAGCAGTGTATTTATTCAACATTAATCTGCCAATTCAAAAAAGAGAAAAATGTAAGAATTTGTTGAAGTTCATCCAAATGAAAGTATCTAAAAACTTCTCAAATGATTAAAACAGTCTTAGACTAAAGGACAAAAAATATTTTTGCCATATATACAAGTGCCATAAAGTTCAGAAGCACCAAAAATATTTATTATTTTTATTTGGATCAATTTCATAATCATCATATTGATCAAGTTCAGATAAATAATACATTTGCAGTTCCAATATAATATGTCAAACATGTATGACAGGTGCAACTATTTTTCTATATTTTTCAAGTTTTAATTGCTTGCTTATAGAAGATCAGTATTACTGTTTGAGCCATTGTTGGTTTATCCATCAGTTGGTCTTGATGCTTTTGCTTGCTTAATATCAAATTAATTGGTTAAGTCACGGATTTATATTGTAATATAAATCCGTGGTTAAGTTAACAACGCGGAAATATTGACAAAATTTGCGAATTGACGAAAATGGCTAAAATTTCCTCTAGCATAAATATCAACCAATATGTAATTAAAGTCTACCCTGGCATTTCATAATATTTCCTTACGCGAAACGTTTGGAATTTTATATTTGCTAACTGTTCAACACATGGAAATATCCATGTACATACAGTAATCTTTACATATTAATGAAATTAATGTTAGACATTAATGTTTAAAAGAAATTATATAATGTAATTGTTTTATAAACTGTTCTCATTGTGGGTAATATAAAATCAAGAATTTCTATAACAGATGAGGGGTCTTTAATAAACGTGAAATAAGATTTCTGTGAGTCATTCATGACAGACTTGTAGAAGAAAAGTCCCATTTATACAATATCACCAGGTCATTCCTGACATGGGAAGGTCAAGTTAGTATTGGACACTAAATTATGAACAGTCAATAATTGATTAAAGAGACTTGCACATTTTCTGGGGGAAATGGTATCTGTACAGTAATAATTACCTTAATAAGATTTATTTAAATTAAACGGTTAATGGTCACTTGTGTCTTGTAGCTTTTTCAAAGTGTTTGCTATGGTTAAATTGTTTGATATGGTTTAGGTATTGACTAAAAAGGAATTAAGAACATATCACCATATAATACAGTGAAACATGTCGGTGACAATGACTACAGACTGACCAATACTGTTATAATGAGTTTCTAATATTGAGCCAGGACATGATTGAGGGGATAATGGTTATATTGGTATACTCGTGACTCAACTCTCGCCAGTATTTGCATGTCCTTAATGATGAACCTTGTGTAAAGTCCATACCAATCACTGGAATATGAGTAAAGACAATAATGATGAATTCAAATGTTGCAAAT